TGTGTCTCCCTGCCTTGTCTCCAATCCCACCCTCCCTCCCACTTCTCCCTATATGTTCTTCCCCTAGTCCACTGATAGGTGAGGCTTTCCTACCCTTCTATTTGACCCTAGCCTATCAGGTCTCATCAGAACTGGTTGCATTGTCTTCCTCTGTGGCCAGGCAAGGTTGCATCCCTAGGGGGAGGTGATTAGAGAACCTGTCACTGAGTTCATGCCAGAGAAAGCCCACGGTCCCCTTATTAGGGAAACCACTTGGAGACTCAGTCTATGAACTACAGCACAGATGTCCTGGAGTTTCGGGTCTTCTCCATGCACTGTCTTAAAGAGAAAGTAGTAACATTCTCTTTAGGGCCCCTAGGGATCAGCTTTTATGGGTGTTGGTTTCCTTTTGGAGCTCCTGTGACCTCCAGGTCTTTCTGTCTCCCTCTTCTTTCATAATATTACCTTCATTTTGCCCAAAGTTTGGCTATAAGTCTCAGCCTCTGCTCTGGTACCTCCATTAGCAGAGTCTTTCAGAGGCTATCTGCGGTAGGCTTCTGTCCTGTTCCCTGTCTTCTGCTTCCAATGTCTATCACTTTTTTCCTTCTGAATGAGGATTGTGCATCTTCCCTAGTGTCTTCCTTGTTTAGCTTCTTTAAGATTATAAATTTTAGTATGCTTATCCTATATTATATGGTTATCGTTCACTTATGAGTGAGTATATACCATGTGTGTCTTTCTCACTCAAGATGATCTTTTTTAGTTCCCACCATTTGCTTGCAAATAATAGCCAGCATCTGGAAACAACCCAAATGTCCTCAGTGGAGGAATGGATACAGAAATTGTGGTACATACACACAATGTAATATTGCTCAGCTATTAAAAACAAAGAAATCATGAAATTTGCCGGCAAATGGTAGAAATTAAATTACTTTCTAATTACTCAATGTATACTGTATTTTTTTTTCTTCCAATAGATGACATGAGAAACATCTGGATTTCTCTTATAACTCCGGTTAAAAGTCACTTCAAATATTATTTATCTGACACAGGAAAGCACACAAGCCATGCAATGAAGAAATCATGATTGGTAAACTAATTCTAGAAAAGAATGCTAACAAAACCATACAAATATTAATGAAAAAATTCACAGAAGGAATTAACTTAGAATATATTTATTAAAGTTTGGTCACATTCCTGATATGAGTGACATTTAAATTTTGTTCTATGTCTTTACAAGTGCTTTAGCAGTGACTAATAAAGAGAAATTAATTTAGTCCAAACAAATTAAGCATCATAGATAATAATATATTCAAGGATATGAGTAATATTTATGCAGGAGGTATTGAAACTTAAGTCATTTCTTTGGGTTAAATTAAATACCCAAATTCCTTCCTTCCTTTCTCTTCTCTTCCTCGCTTCATCTCTCCTTTTTCCCCTCCTTTCCTCCCTTCCTCTTTCTTTCCTTTCCTTTCTTTTTTCCCCTCTTTCTAAAAGAAGTTTCTCATTAGCAAGAAAATGGGGTGAACTTTTTCTGGGCTAATGTTTGTCTTAGCACCAAGGAGGGTATATGCATCAGATACAGTTACAATAATGAAAATACCAGCAATAGTTTTGGATGGTCTCATTCAGATGTCTTGATACCTGTGCAAGTATTGGATTTGAGAAATGGTGGGACCAGTGAATTAAAGAGGTTTATAGCTGAATTATATGTTATTTTGGGCTATTGTGAAGGTTTTGTTTTCCTATTTTCTTTCTCAGCCTGTTTGTCTATTGTATACAGGAGGGCTTCAAATTTGTTTGTTTGTGTGTGTGTGTTAATTTTGTATCCAGGGACATTGCTAAAGGTGTTTATCAGCTGAAGGAGTTCTCTGGTAGAATTTTTGGGGTCGTTTATGTATACTATCATATCATCTGCTAATAGTGACACTTTTACTTCTTCCTTTCTGATTTGTATCCCCTTGATCTCCTTTAGTTGTCTAATTGCTCTAGCTAGTACTTCAAGTACTATGTTGGAGAAATATGGAGTGGGCAGCCTAGCTTTGTTCCTGATTTCAGTGTGATTAACTTAATTTTCTCTTCATTTAATTTGATGTTTGCTATAGGCTTGCAGTATATTACATTTACTGTAGCCTATGACATTTCAGTTTCCAAGTGGGTACCCTAGTAAGGGGAATAGGGATTGTTTCTGACATGAACTCAGTGGCTGGTTCTTTGATCACCTCCCCCTAAGAGGGGAGCAGCCTTACCAGGCCACAGAGGATAATGCAAACAGTCCTGATGAGACTTGATAGGCTAGGTTCAGATGGAAGGGGAGGAGGACTTCCCCTATCCGTGGACTGGGAGAGGGGCATGGAAGGAGAAGAGGGAAGGAAGGTAGGTTTAGGAGGAGAAAAGAGAGAGGGCTACAGCTGCGATACAAAGTAAATAAATTGTAATAAATAAAGAAGGAGGACCCTGGGTAAGATGATCAATCCTCACTTAGAACGACAAATGGGATGGATATTGCAAGAAGGAGAAAATGAAACAGGACAGGAGCCTACCACAGAGGGCCTCTGAAAGGCTCTCTCCAGCAGTGTATCAAAGCAGATGCTGAGACTCAAAACCAAAGTTAGGGCAGAGTGCAAGGAATCTTATGGAAGAACGGGGAGATAGAAAGACCTGGAGGGGACAGGAGCTCCACAAAACGACCAAAAATCTGGGCCCAGGGGAGCCTGCAGAAACAGATGCTCCAACCAAAGTCCATGTGTGTAGAGGACCTTGACCACCTGCTCAAACATAACTGATAGGCAGCTCAGTCTCCAACTGGGTTCTCTAGTAAAGACAGCAGGGACTGTCTCTGACATAAACTCTGTGTCAGACTCTTTGATGACCACCTCCTGAAGGGGGTTGTGTGCAGACTTGCCAGGCCACAGAAGAAGTTGATATAGCCAGTCCTGATGAGACCTAATAGCATAGGATTAGATAGTATCGGAGAAAGACCTCCCCTATCAGTGGACTAGGGAAGGGACATAGGGGGAGAAGAAAGAGGGTAGGTGGGACTAAGAGGAGATGAGGGAGGGGCTACCAAGCCGGGATACAAAGTGAATAAATTATAATAAATAATAAATAAAGAAATAATTTAAAATATGAATTATAACACATTATTTTATTTGTTGGTAAAATATGATTTCAACACTGTATTCTCAACCTTCAAGTTGCTATGTAATCCTGGTATGTACTGAGTCTTTGCTATGTCCTAGATATTCTCACATAATCATCTCATGTTGTTTTGAAAGATATGTCAAGAAAACACAACTAATTGTTTAAGAGAACAAGGTCATTCAGTATAATTAATATGTCCAAGTCACTATATGTAATAATGAATAGAATTTGAATTCAAATAATATTAAGTTTCATAGCATAAAACTATATTCATATGTTAATTTTGTATTGAAAAACATTAAAAGTGAAGGGCCAATTCCAAGAAAAGAATTATTAATTAACAACTTCATGGCTTATATTTGGTATTTAAATAATTATTTCTGAAAGGAACTATGATACAATTTGATAGGAGAATTAAGTGCAGTTTTCCATTGCACTGTAGAGTAACCATAAAAAATAATAATGTATTAAATGTGTCAGAATAATTATTAGAAAATATTTGTGGGGGGGGGAGAGGTTGAGACAGAGTTTTTCTGTGTAGCCTTGGCTGTCCTGGACTCACTTTGTAGACCAGTCTGGTTCAAAAGCACAGATTTCTGTCTGCCTTTGCATTCCTGGGTGCTGAGATTACAGAACTTTGAATTCTTTCCCCATAACAAATAAATGTTTATTCACACTGATATTCAAATTATTATATTATCATTGCAATATTTAGAGGCATTGAAATATCACATTATGTCCCATAAATATGTTCAATTAATAGATCGCAGAGAAGAGCATACAACTGTGAATGGGAAGGGCAGTGTCATGCCTAGCTTCATTCCTTGTAAGCTTCCTTACACCCACATCTAAATGTAGCTCTCATCCCCTGTCAAAAAATTCTTCTCTTTAGCATACAGACACCATTACAAAAAGTCACAGCCGAACAAAATGTAGAGGAAAAACTGATCATGGGATGCACAGTCCAGATTCATATACACCCCAGGCTCAGAGAACATCACAGAAGAGGGCACAAAAAAATTATGAAAGGTAAGGACCAGGAAGTCTGGTGGAAGATTCTGTCTTCCTCATGATGAAGAGAAGCTTCACCCATAACAGTTCAACAGCACAGCTGCCTAACGAATACTTAAACAAAGAACACTAGTTGGCATACTAGTGTGGATGGGGGAAGTCTCACGGGACCCTACCCCAAGATGAAGAGCTATAAGCAATTATGACAATTGTGAGAGGGATAATCAGTTTTCTTAAGAATGAGGCCTTTATTTGGTTATCCAATACAAAGTGGTCAGCCTTAAAAACTTTTACATATAAGCAACAGTAAATATACTCAAAAAGTTGTCTCTCTCCATATATACACATATGTACAGATACATATACATATGTGTATATACATAAATTACATGTAATTACATATAATGTAACTACAGTTTTATTAAGAGTAAAATATAAGGCAGGTGGTGGTGGTGGTGTCTAACTTTAATCCCAGGACTCAGGAGGCAGAGGCAGGCAGATCTCTATGAATTTGAGGCCACCCTGGTCCATACAGTAAGTTCCAGGGGAGCCAGGGCTACACACACACACACACACACAATGACCCTGTCATACAAACAAAATAAATAAATAAAATATATTTTAAAATTAAAGAATAAAATTTTTAAAAGGGACACTTTTTGATCTGTTAAATAATAAAATAATTGTTTACTAGTACAAATAGATATACCGATAAATAGTTTTTCATGCTTGAGTCCTTTAAGGTACATATTAACTTATATATTGTATTTAGATTATCCGACACAAATCCAACCTAATAGAGGAATGATCAAATGTTTTAGAAATCACATTACAAAATTATGCATTGATAATTCAGTTTGAATTACCTTAGATAGCTTTGTCTTGGATTCAGGCTTATCTTTGACAACAAAGTCATTAAGGAGACGAGATCGGTCATAGTTGGCATGTTCAGATTCATCCATGTAATCCTTATCTTTTCCCAGAGCTAAAAGAAAATAGATAAAGTTACATTCATTTTTGTCTGCCCATTTTACTTAGTAAATACCTTATTTAAAAATCTCTATTTTCTGTTTAGTGCCATGATTCCCAATACTCATGTGTGGGGCGTGGTTTCTAAACCAGTGGGATAGAAGCAGGCAAGCTACGTATCCTGACCTCTGGTCCTACTTCGTTCAGGTGGATCAGAAAAGGCTCAGACTTGAATGGCATAGCAGGGTGCCTGCTCCTGGGGCTTCAGACCCTGGGCATGGCAGTGAAGCTGCTTACTGGCTGCCAATGGTATGGCCATTGGCATATGGCATCCATGAATCTGTGTTCATCTTGGAAGACAATCACTGAGACATAATCTCTTTTCACATTGGAGGCATGAAGCAGGACCTTATCCCAGTCAAAGGCCTTTACTTCAGGATCGCCTGGTTCCAGCACCCTGTTTTACTAGGAGTGAGTGCTGCTGTCCATTGTCAATGAGGTGCTCAAGAGTGTGCTGGCCAAGTTTAGTGTCTTGCCAGCATCTGAGTACACAGTAGGCTCACTAGTCCCTGTTGATCCAGAGACCCCAGCTTGCACCCAAGACTTCAGCCTCATCCTGAGTTATGTAACTATCACAGATCTCTTCTTTAGCCAAGAATACTCAGCTGCTCTAGAAGTCAAATAAGTGGCCCCACAAGAAGCCCACCAGATCTATTTTTGGTGGAAAACAAAAAGCAGGACCAGAAACCAGATAGTGCAGGCTGAGCAAGAGGCTAAGGCTGCCAACAGCTTGTGAAGCACTAAGCGAGAATCTTGTCTACATCCAACTCAGAAAGGCCAGGGCCACCCAGAACATCTCTAAGAGGATCACCATGTCAAAGAACAACATCTATGTCGCAGCTGACAACCTAGTGCTGAATCTACAGGATGAAATCTTTACTCCAGGAAGTGACAGCCTCTTTAAGGGTAAGAAATGAGTGTGGACATCTGGAGCTAACTGCCAGAGACGTGAAAAACGTTCCTTCTCAAGTTTACAGGAGACAGCTAGGGAATCACCCAGACTCAAGCATCATGTGATGGTTCTTCTGTACCAGCCCTCTCTAATGAAGGAAGACTGAAGACCATCCCTTCCCAGAGGGCTTTCCTCCTCCCTCTCCTGGCCCAGGGCAGAGGTGAGCAGTTGGTGATTCTCACTGAGTTCCTACACTGTTGTCCCTCCCTCATAATGGGGAGACAGAACCACCATCCCAGGAATTCCCTATTTTTATTGCTTAAAACTTTTCTGTATTTTAAATATTTCTCAAGTTTAGTTAAACAAAATATAAAAACAATTGTCTATCCAAAGGATAAACTCAAAACCAATCACACAAATGGCAGCCATATTGCTGCCTTAAAGCTGAATCTGGGAATGCTTCCATGTGAACTCAGCTCTTCTGTGCTTCTTAACTTATTCAAGCCTTTAAATATGCCAGGAAACTGAATTTGAACATGGACATGTCTTTTTTGTTGTTTTGTTTTTTTCAAAACAGGATTTCTCTGTGTAACCTTGTCTGTCCAGGACTTGCTTTATAGCTTTGTAGACCAGGCTGGCCTCTATCTCTGCCTCCTTGGGATTACAGGCATGAGCTACTGTGCCTGGCTTGGACATATCATTTGAATTGAAATTGTGGGTAGATATCTTGGTAATGATTCAGTTGATTTTAACCACATTTTGATTTTACAAGTACATTAATTTGGGGTTCATTTTTTTTTTAATTTGAGAAGCATTAGAAATCTGAGTTTGGCTAAAGGATTAAAGGAGTCCATGAAAACAAACCATAAATGAAATTCTAACTAATATTATGAAGAATATAAAAATTAGGTGATTGAAAAAACTATAATTGCCAAAAAGTGGAAAAATTCAAATGATTAGAATAATAAAACTATAAAAGACATTGTAAGTTCACCTACATAAGAAGTTGTTTATAAGTAATAATTAACATGAAATTATTAAATAAATATATGATGGTTGTTATCATAAAAAAATTTGATGAATTTTATAAAATTCACATTTCATATGATCAAATATCTCATAAAATGTTATGTATTTAACCTTTTCAAAGAAATAATAGTCTTAGAGACAGTTCTTCTATTAAATATGTTGATAGTACTCAAACATGAAGGACTCTAAACAGTAATTTTAGGAATTTAGTCAGTTGACTTACTGTAGGGAAAAAAAGCAACATTACTCAAGGAAACATTAATTTCTTTAATTCTTAACTTTTAAAACAGATTATGTTACTATATTTATGAAGCTATTTTAACATCAGAATTAGTATAAGTTGATTATGAATGTTATTTTCTTACATACAATTAAAAATGCTCTGATTATTTAGGGATTAAAGTTACTTAACTTATTCATAATAAAACAGCCAGAGAAATGATCCTTTCATTCACGGTCACTATATGCTCATAGACAGAAATTTATATGCATTATTTTTAACTTAATATCTTTATGAAGTTTATTATTTTTGTTTGTACATAATAATGAAATAAACAACCTGAGAATTAACTATCATATAGAATTATACTGTTAAAGTAAGTTGTATGAAATGAAACACACCTAGATATAACTTTAAAGTTGATATTTCTGAATATTAAACAATATTTTCCATAGATTATAGCAAACTACCTGTTATTCATTTAACAATTAGTTGTTAAAATCCTTCTCTAAGTATAAGACTTAAAATAATAGTAATAAGAACAACCTTTTCTTCATAAATATACTGAAAGAAAAATTCTAATTAAGAAAACTATGTCTTATGACTATATAATAAGAGGGAAAAAGAAACAGGTGATAAAAATGTGTTGGTGTTAATTTAATGAAGAGGACAGTAAAGACTTTTGAGTACAGATATGAAGAGGAAGAGCAGAGAGTTACACACAAAAACTGGAAGAAGGATTAACCCAGTGACAGTAAATGGTTCAAATTGTCACCTTGTCTCTGCCTGTTACATAAAATAGAAGAAAGCTGACATTTTTCACTTTATTTATTTGAGAGGTTTCCAAATGCCCAAGGCCTACAACTTGCCTTCCTATTTGTACGGGATGGAAAGGCTAGTGTTTCTGTTTCTTCCTTGCCTTCCTGACCCCAGCCTCTTCTTTATTCCTATGTGAGACAGCAAGCAGGATGCCCCTATGTGACTTAACAAGGGAAGGTAAATGATAGCTAACACTAGGGAACATGCACTGGCCACTGGGTCAAAAAGACGTTAGGGGACATCTTGTATATTTCACTTTCAATTCTTATGACATTTTCTCTTCTCCATGAAAAATTATACATTTAGCTCTGCGGTGTACTTGAGATGATCCTAGCTGGGATATAGTGCACAATAAAATATATTTCCTACTTTAATTAACTTGACAATGGTAAAGAAAGACAAAACACATGTGCTGATAAAGACAATTAAAAATTGTAACAGGAGGAGAGGGTGGAGAAGAAGTATTGGATAAATTAAGACTGCATTGTTATAAACAAAGTTGTCAAAGAATGCCACCCGGAGCTAACACTGGATTAAAAATGTCTTTGAGGTAAATGAATTTCTGTGGAAGCAGGATGCAGTCAAAAGATGCCTGTAAGGATAGGTTCATGAGGTAAAGCATGCGATCCTGTATGTTCACAGGCAAGGATAATGAGGCTGTTGGGGAGGGAAAGGAGAAAGGAATGGCCTGGTATCATGTTATAGTGGCAGTAAAGGGAGTAGGGAAGATTCTGTGGAGTGCTGAACCATTGGAAAGCTTTTATCTTAAACAGGGTGACACAGGAATACATTTGAGCACTCCATTTGCCATCATCTCTATTTTAACAAAACAAATTCTGTTAAAAAAAAAAAAAACAAAAAACATAGACTGGGTTGCCAAGGGCAGAGAAAAAGAGGCTGATTAAGCCTTTAAAAGACTGGAAATTAAAAATGGAAAACAAAGTATGCAAAAACCATTAAATCGTTTATTTTAGATTTGGTATAGTATTTCATTACTGCCCCAGATCTAGACTTTTTTGTTATTCTTACCAGAGGACTGTTTGTAACAAAACTGTCAGAATTTTAAAATTGTTTTAAATTGGTATTTCTACCAACCTACATCTGTGGCGACAATGGAGAGGACCATATTGTGTTTTGATTCATGAGGCTAATCACCCCTTTCCTAGTGGATCTTCTGAAATATAAATGAAATTCACCAATGTGTTTTGGTTCTTACTAAAAACATGATTATTTGTATTTCATCCACCTCTTTTGATAACACATTGCTGAGAATACGTAATAAAATGGTTATAATGGATTAAAGCAATTTTCATAATTTAGATATCTTATGAATTACATATTATCCAACACACATTCTCTTACTTGATTCTCACGGAAAATCTTATATTCTGTCTGGTATTCATAGTTTAAGAAGGGAGTAAACAACGTCTCTATTTCACAACTCAAAAAGCTGAAAGCACAGATGGAATGGGACCCAGGAAGATGACATTCCATTTTTATTATTATTATCCATATGGAAGTTTCCTGGAGAAAAAGAAATCCATGTATATTCCTGATATAATTCTTTTTCAGAGATTCAATAGTGTAATAATGAAGTCTTGGGAATTAATAATATATTTTTTGTTTTCATATTTTTTATTTGTCTCCAACCACATCTGATTTTTATACTTCTGTTGTGAAATAGTTCCATTAAGGTTATTAATAGTGCTCAGAGAATCCTACTATGCCTGTGTGTCAGCCTATACTCCACAACCGTCATTGATGTATCAATCTGTCACTACATATATATCATATTCTCATCAGCAATATAAATAAAAAAATTACAATAAAAATGGCTATCAACTTGTAATCTTGATATAAAAGGAATCATATCTAGAGTTTCATAATTACAGATAGAAAAATGTTCCTACAGAGGGGATACAAAGTGAATAAACTGTTTATAAAAATTAATTAATTAAAAATGAAAAATGTTTTTAAATATTTGTGTTTCAGGTAA